TCTCAAATAAATAAATAAAATCTTTAAAAAAAAAAAAAGAACCAGATTCACTGGTCCAATTGCAATTAGGCTTAATAAATGCTGAGATTCAGATAGTTACAAATCACCAACTTCATTCTTAACAACCTCTTGCACAAATGAATAAAGGGACATTTATATGAACATTGCTGTAGCAGTGGTTTAGGGAAAACAAGGTCTACCAATAGGAAAGTGAAGTATGCCACAGCCCTACGATGAAATGCCCTAAGACCGTTTAAATGAGACGTGCGTACATCACCATGGACAGACCTGGAAAGGCAGACGTTGCACATGATATATAGAGTAAAAGTATAAAAACATGTACCAAAAAATGTGTACCATCTTCAGGAGAGTGAAGGCATGCGAATGGGATCAGGTGAGTGAGCTGAAAAGCTGTACTTTTAAACAAAGCTGAGTACTACAGCGCAGCACAACTACATGCCACATCCGGGTGGTGCGAGCGCGCGTGCGTCCGTTACGCGGCTGACTTCTGCACGTGAGGAGAATCAGCCTTTCCTCCAGATCACGACTCTCCTTGTGAGCCCATCACTACCTGGCCCTCTTCTCTGACCTCGTGCAGACATTGGCACTTGCTATTGGTAGCAATTCCAAGTCCACTCGCAGGGGTTTCGAACCACAAAATGCTCTTCCGACAAAAGGCAGGAAAGTGGGCCAGCCGGTTCCGGCCCGCGCACCCAGGTATGCACTCACCTCTTTCACAACACTGTAGGCCTTGGCCACACCTTCCCGCAGGTCCACTGGCTGGTGGGCTAAGCGGTGGTGAGGAAACCTTTTGATCTTCTTGGGCTCACTAGAAAGGGTCCCAGGAGACACCATGTCATAAGCAGTCTCTGCAGCCGCCTGGAATCATTTTATCAGAAGGTAAGAAATGAATCAGAAGAAAGTCTGCAGAGTTCTGCTCCAACAACGCACTTGCCATGGGGAGTCGGGAAGAACAGAGGGACTCACAGGCCCTAACGCAGGTGCGTCTGCGGTATGGGGAGTTCTTCACGACAAAAACTTAGCACTCTTATACCAAGAACATTAAAGTGCACATTAAGAACTAGTATCTAGATCGAGCTGACTTTCTCAGTCCTCCTCTCTCCCTCTGAGAACACTCTCCACGTTACGGGTTAAGCGAGAATGCCCTGTCTGTGAACAACTGGATAAGGTCAACTGGAGTTTAATACTTAACAAACCTTAGTACGTCTACTGTTTTGTTCTGTAATGCTTCCTTCACGTTTAGCTATGATGTTCATATAAATGAGGCAAAATGAATCCTCGATTAGGGCGCCTAGATGGCTCAGTCGTTAAGCGTCTGCCTTTAGCTCAGGTCATGATGCCAGGGTCCTGGAATCGAGCCCCGCATCGGGCTCCCTGCTCCGCAGGGGGGCCTGCTTCTCCCTCTCCCACTCCCTCTGCTTGTGTTCCCTCTCTGTGTCTCTCTCTGTCAAATAAATAAATAAAAATCTTTAAAAATAAATAAATAAATAAATAAATAAATCCTCGACTAACTTAACAGTTACAATTTAACTGAAACAGGCAAACGAATTTGCACTGGATTCCACTGCTTTATTCTACGAATTCTTTAACACCAGAGAGCTGAGCAATAAAAACAAAAAACCCCCACGATATTAAATCATCATAAATAAGATATCTATTCTCAATGTTCTGTATATTTCACAGGGTCTTTTTAGAAACATAAACCCCCAACCGTCTTGCAGTAAGCCTTCCTGTCCGTACAGAGGACAGCAGTCGGCGGAGGTACCTGTATGGTCTGGACCGTCCTGTTGGTGAGCTCCAGCGCGGCCATCGCCGTCGAGGTGCCAAAGGACGCAGCACCTCTCTGGAACCCTCGGACGATGCGACCGTCCTTCCGGTACTGCTCTATTGGTAACCAGACCAAGTCCTTCAGGCCTTGCACTAGAACAACGGTCAACACGGAGCAATCAGTGGGAGTGCTGGGGCTCAGATCTCTGCTATCACTCTAACCCCGGGGTTTTAACCTCAAATGGGACGCAGAGTGCTCTTGCCGGTGTGTATGACCACACACAGAAGTTTTCTAGAAAGTTGGTCCCCACACAGACTGTCCCAAAGGCACCCATAACTCCAAAGGGGTTAAGAATCACAGATCAGGCAAAATAAATCATCTTTTGATTAAAAAAGAAAACTTACCTAATTGTACTAGTGAATGCATAGGCCCAACGCCTCCCAGGATTCCTGGTAGCTGGTTCTTCTTAATGTCAGTAAGCCATTCCGTGATTGCATACGAGAACAATTTGTCAACACCTAGCAAGCTAGAGCAAATGACTATTAGTATACAGAAAAGAGAAAGAAATTCATAGGTTCAGATAAGTTGGGGGAACTTCCTTTTTTTAGTTTCAGGAGTAGAATTTAGTGATTCATCAGTTGCATAGAACACCCAGTGCTGTGTTATGCACAAACAATGAATCATGGAACACTACATCTAAAACTAATGATGTAATGTATGGGGATTAACATAAGAATAAAAAAATTAAAAAAAAAAAAAGAACACCCAGTGCTCGTTACATCAAGTGTCCTCCTTAATGCTCATCACCCAGTTACCCCAACCCCTACACCCCGCCCCCAGCAACCCTCAGTTTGTTCCCTAGAGTTAAGAGTCTCTTATGATTTGCCTTCCTCCCTGTTATTTTTCCTTCCCTTCTCCTATGTTCATCTGTTCATCACGAGTAAAATCATATGGTATTTGTCTTTCTCTGACTGACTTAATTCGTTTACCATAATAAGTTGGGGGTTATTTTTTTTTTAACTTAAGACAAAAGAAAATTTACCAATTACAAGGACAAAATATTATAGACGTTCGATCTGAATGTACATATACACACATATATGTAATCCAGTTTAATGTTAGTAATTTCTACAAGGTTTCAGTAACATGTATAACTGTGTTCTTCCACTGCTCCTATTTCTTGAACATCTAAAACTCTAGCATAGGGGGCACCTGGGCGGCTCAGCTGGTTAAGCATCAGACTCTTGGGTTTCAGCTCAGGTCATGATCCCAGGGTCGTAAGATCAAGTCCCACATCAGGCTCCATACTCAGCACAGAGTCTGCTTGAGATTCTCTCTCTCGCTCTTCCTCCCCCCCCTCTCCCCACTTGTGTGTGCACACACAACTTTCTCTCAAATAAATAAAATCTGGGGCGCCTGGGTGGCTCAGTCGGTTAAGCTTCGGCTCAGGTCGTGATCCCAGGGTCCTGGCATCGAGTCCCGCATCGGGCTCCCTGCTCGGCAGGGAGCCTGCTTCTCCCTTTCCCTCTGCCTGCCGCTCCCCCTGCTTGTGCTTGTTCTCTGTCTCTTTCTCTCTGACAAGTAAATAAAATCTTAAATAAATAAATAAATAAAATTTTTAAAGCTCTAGCATAGTATTAACTCAATGTCTATAAATTGCTACATGGTTCTCAGCCACTAAGAACCATTACGTTGTGAACTGCCAGTCTTTTTGCTAAATAAATGAATTTATGACTTTGGGAAATTATTAAAAAACAACTACAGCTGTTTTTGAAAAATACTACTCTGTTCAAACTCCTACTCTCTCAGCATAAAAAGGAGCCCCTAATCAGTAAGCCTCCTCTAAAAACAAGCTCTCTGCACACAATGCTGTAAAACAATGATATTTTGCTAAGAAAAGTCAGTGATCAATTTGTTGTAAGCTAATCACAGTCACTATACCATAAAGCCTCATATGGTATAAATCAACCTACCCATGCCGGTAGAAAAGCCGCTTCAGCTTCAGTTCTGAGCAGTTTAACTGGGCCAGACCAATCAGAATCCCGGCCAGCGTACCCTTTAAAATTAAAAAAAGCCAGATTAATGTGTAACTGAGACACCCAACATCTAAAACAGTTGTTATTTGGGCAAGTCAAAGTAATATTCATTCACTTATGCAGCTAAAACACTTAAAATATTTACATCAAAAAAACACATACTTAATTATATTATGACCCAAATTACACTAAATTTTACTCACAGGTTAAGTAAATGATGCTTACTTTAAAAACAGAATTAAATTTTAAAATCTTGCATGTCACTTCAAACATAAAGTTTGAAAATTAACTCCATTAGAAAAACGAGAGAGATAATTTTGTAGAGTATATTTATACAAAGTTTCCAAACCTGATCCATTGATACGTGTTTGCCATGATAATCAAGTCGAATAGGAACTTCTGATGTGAATCTGAATTCTCTGAAGATAAAGAAAGGAGAGGAGTTATTTATATTCAAAAGTACTAATAGTTGAAATTAGAAATAAATTAATTTGTTCAACTGGATAATAAAAACAAAACCACAAAATAATGTGAATATCTCAAGACCTAAATAAAGGGCAATGTCTTTTAGTTCTATCTTAAGATAATATAACAACTAATGTTAATCATCTTATACGTTGTATTTATTTTATTTAAATTTTCTCACAAAAAAATCTCCTAGTTTACTAAATGTTTACCTTAGAAAAATTTATTCTGGCAGATATTCTCAATTTATACAGAAGAATAATAAAGGTGACCTTTAAGATTAAACCAAATAATAGAATCATTACCACGAAGTAAAAAAGAGAAGAGGTAAGGGATTTATTTCAGCTCCATCATGAAGCAGAAAGTGCCAGAAAAGCCAGCCACGAATCCCAGTTTTACCAGTTATATGGGATGCAATCATGGGCAAGGAACTTAAACTCTGAGCCTAAACATCTTAGTAAATTTTTAAAATGCCACCCACGTTGGTGAATTTGAGTGAGCATTCTTGAAATTAATGCTTATAAACAGGATATCAACACACAAGCATTGGGAATTCTGTGAGAATGAAATCATAATTATATGCCAATGGTATACATCAAACAAAAGGAGCCGGCTTCCCAAAGTTGGACTGTAAATTGGACTTAAAACACAATTTTTCTACGGAATTAATGTCTGTGTTTATATCCTAAGCCATTCCACAGAAGTCCAATTTAACCCACAGCAAAATGGAAATGCTGTATTTAAACGTCAATCACTACAGGAGCCTGGGACCCCAGGTCATCCCTCATCTTCCAAATACACATCTCCACTTGGGTCCCTGGGCATTTTGGTTCTCTTCCTTTCTCACTCTTTGTTTTCTTCATGGCACATAATATGGCAAATCATGTATTTTAATTATTTGTAAGCTCAATTATACAGGGAATTTTTCTTGGCTTTGTTTACTGTGCCTAGAACAAAACCTGGCATACACAGAGTAAGAGCTCAATAAATATCTGTGGAATGGCTGGGGGCTATTAGGCCATCACTTAGAAAATGCGCCAGATTTGGGATTAAGACCTGTGTTCTAGTCTTGACTCGGCCACTAACTGTGTGGTTTTGAGCAAGTCAACTTACTTCTCTGGACACTAAAGTTCCTCGTCTGTGAAGTGAGTAAACTGGACTATATCACTGACTACCACCCCTAGGCCTTCTAGGAGCTTTTAAGAGTAGAAACAGAAATCCATAGCAATTTTAAATAGTGTAATAAAAAAAACCAAAATTATTTACCTAAGTAAGTGAGGCCACACAAGCTGAATGAGAAATGTTAAATTTCTTTGCTTTCAGGCCAGAATTGTTAACAATTCAATTTCTTTTGGACTGGCTATCCAGTGTTTACAAAAACCAAACTAGGAGTTCATGTGTGATTAATATAAAATGAGAATTCACACTATCACTTATGATATGCAATTTTTTGGTAGTAAAAAAATTTTAAAGATCAATGTGGGAAAGTAATAAAAGAGATTCTTCTTTCCTGGTGAAACTTTTACAACTGCCAGAGATCATCTATCCCAGGATCTTTCCAATTCCCATATCGTTATTTTTTTTCTCTATTTTCAAGATATATAAAAACATGAAAGCACTTTAAATAGTTACACTGCCCGCTTTGGGCCATACCCAAAGTCTAACATAAAGTCAGCTTGAAAAGACAGAATCGGGGGACAATCGATGTCAACAGGAGTACAGACAACAAGGGGAAGTAACTAACGGTCCCTCACAACAGGTGGCTTAGATCTTCCTTCTTCCTCCTTCCAACGGAGCCAAGGCTCCATGCCCACCATGAGGGGCCGGGAAAGAAGGATGATGGGAAGAATGAATGGGTCTGGAAAAGAGGATAAATTCCAGCGTGCAAGCAGCTAGCTGAGCATGGGCAGGAGCTACAGCGGATAGCAGGAGCACATGGGCCTGCCTTTCCCGATAGTGCCGACTGAGCCAAAGAGTGAAGGGTCAGGAAAGACACAACAGTGATGGGGAAGGGGCAGATGGAAAACCAGACAGAAAATGCCCACACTGGAGAAGGGAAGCCAAGGTGTGTAAGGGAAAAGAGGAAAGGACATCATGATTGAGGAGGTACAAATAAGCCATAACAGTGACTGGGAAGAGGGACAGAAGGAGGAAAACAAAGCTAAGAGGAAAAGGACATTCCTGCTGCAGAATCCAGAGAAAATACCCCTGAGCCAGGGTTACTACCTGTAATCAAGGGGTGCAGGATACGTGGAGCCCACATGTAAATAAAGACACTAGTTACTGTTTGGCAGGGCAAAGAAAAGCTGGAGTAACCTCATGATTAGTGGTGGTACACGAACACATTAAAGAACAACCTGCAAAACGCTAAAATAACTTCATGTGTTATCAAAATTCAGTGATTTACCTAAAAAACACGGGCTGATCACTAAATGATGCTTCTTCAGCTGAGAAGTCCTTCTCTTCCTCCCCATTAACCACTTCCACTGAATTGGCACCACCATCTTGGGAAGGCTGCTTTGGCCCAGGAAAAGAAAGAACTAGATTTGGCTCCTTGGAGGTGCTTAAATGCCTTGGCAAACTGCAGGTGACATCAGCTCCAGGAGACTTTTTAACTGAAAAGGTAATGTGTGCATTTGAAAATTAGGAATGCTTCTTTAGAGCAACCATTTAAAATTAATGTGGATTTAACTTGTTTTGCTGCATTTAATAAACACAGTAACTGCTACAGAGACTACCGACTTCCACCTTTTAAATTATTACTCTTACATAAACTGCATTCGCAAAATATAAAAAAATAAACACAAAGCACATTTATATAAATGAGAATAAAGACTGTAAGTACACTCTCAAAAAGGCCTCATAACAATCAAAATCAATCCAAGTATTTGATATAGACTTTTTCCAAACTATACATGTTTAATACCTTCTGGATCTGGAGCCATTAGAAGCTCTACTTCTGTAGAAAGACTTGTGAAGAAATCCTTCAGGAAGAACAAGGCATCCTAAAATGAAAAGAAGTAATTATAACCGGTGGGGGGGGGCATCTATTTCTAAAACTACAAAGTATCTCAAAGTCCCATATTTTACTCATTCCTCATATACCACTATAATTTTTTGAGTTCTTACTCTGTGTGAGGCAGTGTTCCTATTCCCCATCTCTCTCTCTCTCACACACACACACTTCCTGGTTAATTCTCACAACTCTGAGAAAATTATAGATGTGAAAATTAAGACACAGAGAAGTTAAAGATTACACAGCTATTTCTAAATCCAAGTACAGTTTGGTTTCTCAGGAAGGCGGCGTCCTTGTTCTTGGATGCCAGTGCTCAGTGCAAACGGTAGGGGGCGCAATACCGCCACGAGGAACAGCACCCTGCCGGCCTGCGCACACTCACAAGCCTTGCAAGTTCTTACTACCTGCTTTCGGCCTGGACCACTATGTTCTATTGCCTTAACACATTTTCTCCATTGGACAGGATATTCAAAAGTAAAATCCGTATAATTACCCAGTGTGGTCTCTTCTGAAATGATGTAATAACAAAAACCCGCAGGCCTGTCTAACGCTGTCCGAGCAAGCCACATTAGCCCGCTATTAGCAGCTTCGTTTTACCCACCTCACTCACACCGACAGACCCCTTTTGGAAAGTATGAAAATTAAATGCTTGAGCCTATTCTTTCTTATTCTGCCCTTCCATTTAAAAAAATTCTCAGGGCGCCTGGGTGGCTCAGTTGGTTAAGCGACTGCCTTCGGCTCAGGTCATGATCCTGGAGTCCCTGGATCAAGTCCCGCCGCATCGGGCTCCCTGCTCAGCAGGGAGTCTGCTTCTCCCTCTGACCCTCCCTCCCTCTCATGTGCTCTCTCTCTCTCAAATAAATAAATAAAATCTTAAAAAAAAAAAAAATTCTCAGTTAATATAAAGCATTAATACTGTACCAAAATGCAATGTGGTGGGGAATTACAGGGTCAGGGTATTTGGTAGCATACTCTAAGTCTGGTAATTCCAAAGGATCTGATCAACCTACTGATCACGTTTATCAGAGTATAAATGATGAAAGTCAGAAAGATATTTTTCTAGGTAACATGGCATATGGGAGACTGAGGGATGGATGGGACTGAAGACCAAGCAGGCAGTTCCAACAGTACTGAAAATATTTTGGTTCTGCAGTAAGACAGTGGGTTCATGAATTGTTCATTACATTATGCTTTCTTTACATTTATATATGTGTACATTTTGTTATTCACATTACATACATTATATATTACTACACAGATCCGTGTGTATATATACACACACATTGGATAATATATGTATATCAAATATTAGATGTTTACAAAGTTAACAGTACCTAAAAATGTTATTCTTTGACCACTAGATGGTGATATTTTAACGCAATAAATACTTTGACTCTATGCCTTCAAAAAAACAAGAGAAAATTTCCAGGTATAAATATGCTTTAAAAAAAAAGAGAGAGAGAAGACCACAGAGCTGGTGGCATTTATCCATTTTCACTACAAATCACAAAACAACAGAAGAGGGGATACTAATGGTCCGCATTTCAATATGCTCTCAGAAGTTCTGATATTGGTATTTATGCTAAACTCTTTACAACTCAATAAAACCACCTAATTTTAAAATTAGCAAAACACAGACACTTTACAAAAGGGTATACAGATGCCAGATAAGCATGTGAAAAGATGCTTAGCATCATTAGCCACCACGAAATCCAAATTAAAACCACAATGAACACCAAATAAAATCGTTAAAATTAAAAAGACAGCATCAGGTTTGGTCAGGGTGTGAAGCAGCAGCTCTTGTGTTCCTGGGGGTCGTACAAGGGTGTAACCGCCGGGGGAAACTGGCAGCTTCTTACAGTGGTCAAATACACATCTGCCTCACGGCCTGGAAATTGTTTGTAATACCCAAGACAAATGAAAACAAAGATCCATAAGAAGACTTGTACACAAACTTCGTAACAGCTTTGTTCCTAAGAGCCAAAACCAAGAAAAACAACCCAAATGTAAATCATGTAAATGGATACACAAAGTGTGGTACAGCCATACAAGGACTCCAGTCTTCAGCAATGAACAGGAACAGACTGAACAGAAATGAATAGACACGCCTCAGCATAGATGAAGCTCACTGCACAGGAAGCCAAATACACTTCCATTTACATGAAGCTGTGGGAGGGAAAAAGCTAACCTATGGTGATAGAAAGGAGACCAACAGTTACTTTGGGGTGGTGGAGACTGATCACAGAGGGGCACGGGGGACTCTGAAGGGAACAGAAAACGCTATTTCAACTGGTGTAGTAGTTACTCAAGTGTATCTGTCAAGCTCAAACTGTACACCTAAAATCCTGGCACTTTATTATATGCAAATTATACCTACATACAATCAACTTCTTAAAACTTGAAAAAATGTGGTTTATTATTTTACAAACTTAGGCTATAGTTCTTTCTAGCTTTATGAAGATACTAACAGTATCTTCTATCATAGAAGTGTTAAAATAGTTAATTATAATGTCATACTCAGGCAATCAAGTAATGATGCTAAAAAACCACAAATGTGCAAACTAGTACTGCTCGTATTCACCGTCTCGAACTTCAGCCAAGCACATACCTACCTTACCAGAATGGCCTCACATATCCGCTCACAACCTGAATTAGGCCCTCAATGCCTTTACACAAATCTTAATGCAACTAACTCAACCACATTCCTTAAGACCCACCTTGAGTGTCACCTCCTCCAAAAGCCTTTCCTGATTACCCCTCACTCTTCTGAATTCCCCGCCTGGCTTCAGAGCCCCTTCTGCTGGGGCATATCCCGCTATGCCTATCTTTACCACTGGGACTCACTGCAGGGTGTTAAAGTCATCTGTTTTATGTCAGTCTCCACCCCCATACAGAGATCTCTGAGGTTGGGGATGTTCACTTATCTTTGTATCCCCAGCATCCTAGTACAGGACCTGGGATGAGACTGGCATTCAGCAAATCATTCGGGATTAACAAGCATATTTTCCCCGCCCAGAGTTCCAGGCAGTGCAACACTGAAATGGACACCAGACTAGGAAAGTCAGGAAATCTGGCCTCTTCAAAGTTCAGATCTCAAACTGTCTAGTTACATGAACTTCATCATCTATTTACCCTTCCCCAGAAGAAAATCGTCCCTTCTGCCTAGTGTCCTGCCTCCACTACACGCATGCTGAGCCTTGGAAGCAATGACCCTGAACTTCAACAGCAATGCAGCTTTTTTTAGAACAGTGTGTTGCTTTCACACTTACTATCTATGATCCAGTTAAGAGAAATATTAAGTCAGAGACATGCTTGGTAAGAAAAGTATTACTCAAAGCATTATCATTCTTCAACTGATTAGTTTTCTAAAGAAAAAAATGGAGAACATAAGTATCAGGTTTTCTCTTCAGAGGACCATTTGCTCTCTCAAACTAAGGCACGTCGATCTTAGAAGGTGCCAGCCAGAAGGACCTTTGCACAGTGAACCTGTCAGCACACACCTGCAGTGCGGCTGTGTTCTCCTCAGGTTCGTACCTTGGGAAACGATTTCCCGCTCCTCCTCAGGTCAGCCAGAACAGTGATTTCCCTGTTTTCTCAAAGATCAGTATCTCCCCATTTCAAAATCACAGTGCTTTATAGTTCTAAGAAATTAAGCTCACTACTGAAGAAAAAAGTCTGTTAAAGAAAACTGGGCAGGGCGCCTGGGTGGCTCAGTTAAGCATCTGCCTTCAGCTCAGGTCATGATCCCGGGGTCCTGGGATTGAGTCCTGCGACGTGGTGCTCCGTGCTCAGCAGGGAGTCTGCTTCTCCCTCTGCCTCTGCCCCTCCCCCCCACTCCTTCTCTCTCTCTCTCTCTCTCTCTCACACACACACACACACACACTCTCTCTCTCTCCCCCTCCCTCAAATAAATAAATTTAAAAACTTAAAAAAAAAAAGGAAAAAGAAAACTGGGCTTGCTACATCTGGCAAGCTCATGCCAATAAAGATGTATCTTGCTCAAATTCTTGCTCACACTGATTTCCACAGATCGAATTTCCCATAAATACCTGATCGTACTCCTATTCAGTCACAAGGCAATGTATGGATAAATCAAATTAAAATACGGGTATCCAAAGAAATTCTTCTCATAAGGAGAGAACATAAATCTAAAGTACGCACTGGCAAGTCTGTCCCAGCTCAGAAGCTACAAATATTAACGTGAAGCTGTGCTGAACTTCTGTGCTTCACAATACATTTTTTCTGAGAAATGTCTATATTTTTGCAAGATAATTATTTAATACCTTATTCCTGAAATGTCTGTTACTTATTCAAATAACAAGTCAACGTTATTCAATCTGTACCACGTAAGCAAACCAACAGTGCTATCCCACATAGACTCTCCTTCTCACACCAATATAAGGTGTAACAGAACAGTTCTGCTGTTTCAAAAGCAGGCTATTTTAAGAACTCCACTTATTTTCCTCAGTTGTGACGTGCTTCAGTTAATAAGAACAACAGTTAACACTTCTGATCTTTTAACATTGTACGCCAGGCACCAAGCTAAATATTTAACATATGCTAGTCTCATCTGATCATTTTTTAAAAAAACGATTCTACATCTATTTCTCTTACTTTGATTTTATCAGTGAAGAAAGTGAGGCTTGGAGAAATAACTTCCCCAAAGGCACACAACCAGGGAAAGAGAACTGAGGCGGCAACCCCAGCCTGACTGCCGAGCCTGTGCCCCCCTCACGGCCACACCGCACGACTACAAAGCGTCACGTGTTCACACACCCTGAATCTAGTTTGCCCAAGAGGCGCCAACTATGTTTTAAACAGCAGAGTCAAAGCAAAACCCAGAACAATTTCATGGAAATGCTTGCTAGAATACGGCAAAGTAGATTTCTTTAGGTCTTTCCACAAATCTGCTGTTTGTGACCTGTTCGGGTATCCAATGTACCAATTTGTCATCTTACCCAGGGCAGAAGGAATTCTCTTCCAGGTGCTGTGGTTAAGAGACAAGCCCTCTGATCTTTCAACCACAGATGTCAGGGAGTCATTTCCTACCCTCTGAAGACACCTGTGTACCTGCCCGAGTGTGTGTCCGTGAGCAGGGGAGAACAGGAAGCAGGGACTGAGTGCTAGGTCACGCAGACAATGAGGAGCCTGGAGCACAACATCTAATAATGTTTACTCACCAACAGTTCGGATCCCTAAACCCGATGAATTTGTCCTATTCTTTACCAGCAGAATTCTGCTTCAATTATGCAACTTTCATAACAGTTAAGTAACAATAAACATTTTAATTCACCTAAATTAAATCTCTCCTTCTGAGTCTGGGACATAGAAGCATAACTCCTCACACGATGCCTTCAGTACAAACCTGGTCAATATTGAGGCGAAGTGGCATTAGGGACACTCGCAAGCAGCACTCCTGCGGTGACCTGCCGGACTCGGGGCGCACATGTAATACTTTCACTGTCAACTAGGAGAGAAGAAAAACATTTTTTCCCCAATGATATTACACCCTTGTTTTCATTTAAAAAGAAAAAACACAAGAAACAAAAGAAAAAAAATCCCATTTCTATCCCTTATAAGAGAACTAAAAGTGGAACTGTTTCCCCTTTTTGTTTAAAGGCCTGAATCACACTTGTCTGGGGCACACACTCCCTGAAGAGTCTCAGGAGAGAAATGGGTTCTCTTTAGTGGGAAAGACGTAAACGACAGTGGGGTACATGTACTTCAGGATCCGCTAGGCCCCTGGAGGGAATCCGGAGAGCCACACTCCAAAGACAGCTTCTAGGACGTTTTCTTCTAGCAATCCTGAGCAAATCATTCCTATTCCACTAAAATTCACAAAGTGTTAGAAATCTGGAACACTTCCAGCAATACTAAATATTTTGTGTAGATCACCATAGACTTCCCGTTTTCCTCGGGTATCAATATACTGGCAGTTAAAATTAATGGACCCTAAAAGTGACATGTCAAATAATTTTTAGGGGTGCCTGGGTGGCTCAGTCATTAGGCGTCCGCCTTTGGCTCGGGTCATGATCCCAGCGTCCTGGGATCGAGCCCCGCATCGGGCTCCCTGCTCGGTGGGAGGCCTGCTTCTCCCTCTCCCACTCCCCCTGCTTGTGTTCCTTCTCTCCCCCTCACTGTCTCTCTGTCAAATAAAAAAAATAA